ATCATCCTACAGTTGGGAAAACTCATGTAACAAAAATTCAATTTTATAATAAAGTGCTGAATAACTCACATAACTTGTTGAATGCCCACATCCAGTATCTGCTGACAGCATAGAACATCAGCTATTTCCCTACAGAATTGTAGGGGTGATGGGGAGCTGCTGCTGCTGTCTGCTCTCATGGGAGGTGATGAAGCCACATGGGGATAGCTGAGGGAGAATTTAAAATTCAAAGTTTGATTTAACATTTTACCATTTTGAGCATGGCTTTCACCCTATCATAAGACTGAAAAACCACAAGTTGAATCATTTCAAGTTGAGGGCCATCTGTATAGATAAGCTAGAGGTTAAGCAGATGAGATTAAGAAAAAAAATATGAAGTCCTGAAATTTTCTCTTTTCTTTTCTTTATCTTTTTTTTTTTTTTTTTTTTTTTGACAGGCAGAGTGGACAGTGAGAGAGAGAGACAGAGAGAAAGGTCTTCCTTTGCTGTTGGTTCACCCTCCAATGGCCGCCGCAGCCGGCACGCTGCGGCCGGCGCACCACGCTGATCTGAAGCCAGGAGCCAGGTGCTTTTCCTGGTCTCCCATGGGGTGCAGGGCCCAAGCACTTGGGACATCCTCCACTGCACTCCCGGGCCACAGCAGAGAGCTGGCCTGGAAGAGGGCAACCGGGACAGAATCCGGCGCCCTGACTGGGACTAGAACCCCGTGTGCCGGCGCCGCTAGGCGGAGGATTAGCCTATTGAGCCGTGGCGCCGGCTGCAGTCAATTTTCTTAATGTGCAGGATCTGTCTCAGGAGGAATTTGTTGTCAGCAGCCACAGCTGGTTGTTGAAACCAGGTAGCCTGATGTGGAATATGGACATTTTCACCACTAGGCCAAGTGCTAGCCCCTTGGTTACCATGTTTAGTGTGTGAAGAGAACAGTTAAGTTTTATTGTCTTAGAAAGCATTCAAATACCCTATAAAACACATTTTATTATCTTTAGTCAGTATATTGAAGGATACATTTCCAGAGCCTTTTTATCTCATATTTCACGCTTCCTCTCTTTTGACCAGTGTTTCCCATTCTCCTCACTTCCTTGCCGTTGGCAGTCTCCTCTCCACACTCTGCTACTTTGAGTTGACTCTTAGATTCTACATATATGCATACATCACATTTCTGTATTCATCTGTTGACAGATGCTTAGGTTGACTTTATATTTTGAGTGTCGTGACTTATGCTGCAAGGAACATAGGAGAGCAGACATCTCTATGAGATGCAGATTTCATTTCTTTTGGGTCTTTCAGTATATATGTAGCATAAGGATCTCTGGTTCCTAAGATACTTCCCTCCCTCCCTCCCTCCCTCCCTCCCTCCCTTCTTCCTTCCTCCATCCCTCCCTCCCTCCCTCCCTTCTTCCTCCCTCCCTCCCTCCCTTCCTTCCCTCTTACTTTTTTTCAGCTATTTGAAAGGGAGAGTGACACACAGTGAAAGTAACAAGTAATAGAGTCAGAGAAAGATAGATCTTCTATCTACCTGCCCACTTCCAAAATGCCCACAATACACAGGAGCAGGACACACCAAACCTAAGAGCCTGGAACTCCATCTGCAATTCCCACATGGGCGGCAGGGACCAACTGCCTGAGGCATCAGCTTCTATCTCCCAGGGTGAACATCAGCAGGAAAATGCACTGGAAGTGGCATAAGGTCTTGAACCCAGGCACTTCAACATGGAATTTAGGCATCTTAACGGCCGTGCCAAATGCTTTCCCGATTTTTAATCTTTTTGAGGAACTTCTATGCTATATTTTTGAGAATCTCCATACTATTTTTCATCTGGCTGTACTAATTTACATTCCCAGAGCAGTGTACAAGTCACATACACACACACACACACACGCTTGCAATAGTTTGACTTTTTGGGAGTAGCCATTCTAACAAGGGTGTGGTGACCTCTCATTGTGGTTTTGCAGTAATCCAGAGAAAAATATTATTAATACCAGTTGATGGTAATTACACCCTCCCTCACGGTTTTGCAACTTCTGGCAAATTGGCATGCTATTCAGATTTCAGTGACAATTAGTAAAAGCATTCTCTTTGTTCCTTTCACACACTCAGGGAAAAGGGGTCCATTTCTTATGTGTTGACGGCTTGCTTCTTGCCTCTCACATACTCTCTAAATGCCTATAATCTTTCTGGAGTGCACATGGGCTTATCAAATGTCTTCTTGTCCAATGGATAAAAGGGTTGAGAAACACAAACTACAGCTTTTGTAAGGCACCATGATCCTCCCAGTGGCAGGTTTTCTCTAATAGGCAGGATATAAGAAGGCTCCCCAAAAAAGACATTTTATAATTCAACAATGAACTATTTTTAATCCCTTATAGCATTGAGTTCTAGCTCAAGCATCACCTTTGACGTTTCCAAAAAATAAGCACTGCCATGTCCCTCTCTTTCCATAATTCCCATGGAGAAAGGAAGAGCGTGTATTTTAGACACTTTCTTCACATTTTGCTTTTTAAATTATTTTTGCTTCTATTTAAAGTATGCATTATGATGCTGTGAGACACATCTGGATAGTAAAAGGCTTACTACATGTATTGTGAAGCAAGTTGACATAGCCATCTTCTCACAGAGTTACTCCCCGCTTTGTAAATTCTTGTAGCAAGGACAGCTACAAAGTGCACTCGTGTACTCATTAAGCATGCATCCTATAATTGGCACAGTTTATTCATCTATGCTCTTCAGGTCCTTTAACTTTACCAATGCTGCTTGACTTCCAATGGGGTTATGTGCCTTCAAGCTCATTGCAAGATGAAATATTGTAGGAGGAAGATACCGCTAACAGGCCTACTACTACACGTCTGAGCTAAGCACTGGATGTGTCAGCTTTCTCTCATCACAACCGCTGGGCTGACCAGGAGTCGAGGCTCCTGCCACTACTCACTTTCAGAGAGTTGTATGACATACTGCCCGCCTAGAAAAAGATCAAAAATTTTCATTTGGAGTAAGATTGTCATTGAATGTGTATTGCTTTTGTACTTTTGTAAAGTCAAAATATTGTAAGTAGAACCATTGTCAGAACCAAAGACCATCTGTATGTAGAGTTTAAAAGTACATTTGTAAAATGGCTTTGACTCCTAGAAAAATGAAGGGCTGCTATTTTATATGTGGTTGAAAGTTCTGGAGACTGATAATGGTTCCTCCTTAGACCTTAAACAGAAGTCTGCCCTAGTGTAGCTTTCATCCTCCGCAGAATGTCAGGGCAGCTGTTTGAATGCACACAGGAACTCCCGGCCAGGCCATTCTCTGGTAGGCGTGTAGCTTCTCCATAACTCTAGACACAAAGCCACATGTCCCACCCAATTACATTAGTATATTTGAATGGGCAGGGCAGGAGACTAGACTTTCTTCTGTACTGATATTCTGGGTCAAAGACAAGCCATAGTAACATAACAAAGATCCATTTTTGTCACAAAGGCATGAAAAAAGAGCGCCATGGGAAACCACTCACATTAACCCGGTGTTTGATGCTGTTTGGTGTTTGATGCTGTTTAATGTTGTGTTTGATGCTGGTCACACTGATGATGAATTTCTTGCAGTGGGTGTAAGTCATGGGTAAACACACAGGCACTCTTAGCTTTCCTCATTCATTCCAGGACCTGTAAACTTAGCAATACTGTTAACTGAGAGCATAAGGATGAGAGAGAAAATGTCAGGTACAAGAGGGACACAGAGAAAGATAGCTTGACAATAATCTGAAACCTGAGTGCCTCGGAAGACTTGTCTCATGTTCTCCTGCTGCGGCATCTGGAATCATCCATTTTCAGGACTTGTAAATATGAGGTTGATGTAGAGTCGTATCTTTCACTCTAAATATTCGTGACATTAAAGGTTCCTGAGAAACCTCAGCGCTCAATTACTGTGCCTCCTCTCTTCATTGATTCCACAGCCAATGAAACTCTTTCCATTAGAGGAAATATTTTGGGCAATTATCCATTGCAAATGAATGCTGATGGTAATAACTAGTATTTGTATATCACTCTTTCATTAATTATTTCAAAGAATCATTACAGAAATTAAGAAGGTAATGACAGTGTATTGACTAGAAGGAAAACTTTCGAACAATTTGAACTCCCCTAGGTGATGTGGCTTCTAGTGACAGAGGCTAACTCAGATGCATCCAGTAACCTGCCTGCAGCCCTACCCTCTTAAGTAGAGATTTCTCCTGCTTAGAAGGGTTCCAGGACAAATATTGATTAAAAAAAAGGAGTAGGAATGAGGGTGGAGAGTTACTATAGGAAGTCAAAGCAGACGTTGCAAATTATCTCCATTGCCAACCTCAGATTCACTTATAGAAAGAAAGGAAGATGCTGCTGACAGACAACACAACAAACACAAAAAAGAGAATGGAATCTGTTTCTAATTATTTCCACAAAAATATCTGGGAGTAAGCTATGGGATGTGATCTCTGGGGAAATATCTTTGTATTTTAAAATTAACCCTTTCCTTGCAAAAGATAGTTGAGAGCAGGTATGCAAATATGAATAGCTGTAAATAGCCACATGGAGCAGTATGCTCAGAGGGTTGCCTCCTGCTGCATGTCCAAGGAACAACTGTGCACACTCAAGCTGTCAGCAACAGGCTGTGCTGGGCTCCCAAGGAGAGGTATGCTGACACATTTTCTAAAATTTTACTTTCTTTCATTTTGTTTCCTGAGACAGTACATAAAATATTATCTTTTGTGGCTATGGAATGAGAAATTCAAGTTGCATTGCAAATGTGAAAAATAAAATGTTAAAAACAATTATTCTCTCCACCACTGAGTATTCATTCTCACTGCTTATAATGTTCAATGTACTCACACAGAATCGGAAAATTCTCTTGCAAATGTGGCTCATTTAAGTGTTATTGGAAGACCATGTTCCAAATAGAACTAAGCGAAACACACCGACGACCTCACCCGTTGTCAGTGGTAAAAGATGATGTGACAAAGGTAGAAAAGACTCACATTCCGCTGGTTGAGATTCTCTTCCTGTTGGACTCTGCCTGAGCCATTACATTCAGACCTCACCTATGACCATGGTGTGAGAAGGTGCAGACTCCTTGTTGGATTTCCTTAAAGCTCCTTTCATAGCTTCTACATGGATAACCAGTAACTATGCCTCAAGTGAATGCTGAATTTATCTTATATTTTTCATAATGCCTGAGTAGCTGACATGGTTGATTTAATAAAACACTCAGCTGATCAAGATGAGCAACATGGAGTGAAGTGGTTATTTTTTAAGTCCTAAGATCATGCAATATTAGAGTGTGAAGGAAGGATTTTAGGGTTGAACAGACTGAGGTCTAGAAAGAGAGGAGATTGTTAACTCCTTAAATGAACTATAGAAATCTTTAGGCATCCAATACACTCTCTGATTCATTTTTCTCTCCTTAATTTGAGAAGCCGAGAGAGAGAGAGAGAGAGAGAGAGAGAGAGAAATCATCCACTGCTTCATTCTCCAAATGTCCATAATAGGAGCTGCGCCAGGCTGAAGCGGGGAGCCACGGACTCAGTTCAAGTCTCCCAGGTAGGTGGCAGGGAAACAATTCCCTGAGTCATGGCCTGTTACCTGTTGCCTTGCATTGGCAGAAAACTGAAATAGGGAGCCAGAAGCAGAACCAAAACTAAGGTACAACAATGTGGGAATGAAGCATCTAACACCATACCCATCATTCAGATTTTAAATTGAAGATTAATCATGAGATGTTTCATTGAAAGATATTGAAGTGTGAGTTGTTTTTCTTAGTCTTATGAGTATGTTTTCTCATGGCTGACAAAGTATGAAGGCTGGACACAGAAGGGCAAGTGAATATTCAAAGTACATGGCTATATAAGAATCTTTATTACATCGTATAAGAATCTCTATATAAATCATCCATTTGCAACCAATAGTTAATGTGCTAGTGTATATTCCATATTTTTAATTTAAAATTTAATTTTAATTAGTTTTTAACAGATTCAAGTTTCTTTGTAGAAACAATTCTAAGAACATATCTTGCCTTTGGTAATGGCATGTATGTGCAATTAACAGCTCCAAGTTGAGAAAAAGCCTCCTTTTAGCTATCCAGAGCTTACACAGGAAGACGACCTCTGCTTTGACCCTGGTGAGTACTTACTTCTAAAGACTGGGCTTTGTTTCAGGCCCCACTGAGGATGGGCTTACCAGATTTGAATACAGAGCTACGGTTGGGCTGCATGTGGCAATATTTGTGAAACGTAATTTCCAACACGAACTGGAACTGAAGTCCTCAACAGAATGAATATAAGAAAGAATCTGTGTTTTCTCAATAAAGAAAGTCAACTATGTCCCTCTAATCTACAGAACACCTAGAGTTGCATACAAATGATGTGACTTTCAAATGTTGGCATAATTAAGAGCAGTTTAACAATATTTTAACAACCTACATAAGGCACTGATGATCCTGTGCACTCTATAGCATACAATGATCAAAAATAAAACACCTAGGCCACAACTGGTATTATTCTAAGCTTTGAGAGCAGGATGGTATAACAAATTGAACATAATTTATATAATTATAAGAAAGAATTCAATGATTGCTCTCCTAATAAATGCCTAAGACTCTAGAGATACAGTATTTAATAGGGTTGTCAGAGATTTGCACTGGTCCAGTAGATCACTCACTTAAAATTCCAGCAATTAAATTGGTTAATAACAATCATATTAACACAAACTTGCTCATGCTTTCATGTTGAGAAAGGATCTTCACATTCCTAGTTAATGAAGGTTAAAAAAAAAAAAAAGGAAGGGCAAATTAATCCAGTTACCTTGTTTTTTCTTTTCTTATTCCAGGGAAAAAGAGTGTTTCTTCACAATCAACATTCAGCGCATTTCCCTAATTAATGCAATTTGATAAAATGAAACAAATTCATGATGTCATTAACTGAGTTCTGCCTAATGAAGTTGAGTTGTATGAAACATTAACCGCAGAGCAGAATCCATTTCTGTGGCCAGGGAAACACACATTTTTTCATTTCAGAACATTTACTTTGGAAGTACCAATCATGAAGGCTTATCACTACAATCATCATGTCTTGACAAATCAACATAAATTAACATTTTGATCAATGCCATCATTAAGCCCAGTCTGAGAAAAAAAGGATATCACTCTGGTAAAATGGCACCAGCAAACTTGCCTCTTGACAAGATGATAAGAGGCTGCTAGGTGGACAGTTTTCGCTTTTCCATTTGAAGCTGCATTTATCATACTGAGCTTGACAATAACCATCAATGAGCTTCAAATCATGAAAGGGGAGTTTACCTTCACAGACACAATGTGAATAGCAGTTTTAAAAGAAGGCAAAAGAGCAGAACGCTGCTAAAATTAACAGGAAATCTACACACACCCTCCTTCATTAGAAGTCTCTTCCAGTGGTGCTATTTATATTCCAAGAGGATGTATGTGTGCATTTCTTATGTAAGATCATATACTGGGATTATGAACATAGACCTTACATATTTTTAGAACCTTTACCTTCTAAAGAAGAAATAAATATGCAAACTTAATTCATGCCTAGTAAGAAACTTATGAATCCAATAAATTCAAATATTTGTTTCACCTCCTTTCAATTTTTTAAAAATTTTTGTAGCATGTGTTAAATGAAAAATTGAATCTTGTTGCAAAATCAAAGTTGAGAGGCCAACTTTGTGATGCAACTGGTTAAGCTGGGCTTGTGAGCTGGCATCCTACATCGGAGTGCTGGTTCAAGTCCTGGATTCTCTGCTTCTGAACCAGTTTCCTGTGACTGTGTCTGGGAAGGGATCAGAGGATGGTCCCAGTGCTAGTATGACAGCCACCCACAAGGGAGACCAGGATGCAATTCCTGTTTCCTGGCATTTGGTTTGGCCCAAATCTGGCTGCTGTGGTCATTTGGGGAATAAGCCAAACTCTCTCTCTCTCTCTCTCCTTTCCAAATAAATAAGTAAGTAAACATATATATAAATAAATAATCTCTAAAAAAAGAAAGAAAAATCAAAGTTTAATTTATCCAACTGGTCAAAATGGGGATTTAAACATGAAGACCATCTGTCAGTAGCCTGAGCTGGCTAAGCTGTGTTTCACTACAGAATGCAATTTTTCCTTCCAGTTCAGTACCTGCATGCAGATTGACGTGTGGTTATCAGTCCTATTGATTAAGGAGGTACATTACACTCCCACATGGGATGTATCTGTGTGGAGGGAGAGGCAGACAGTGGGGTCATTGCTCACTCTTCCTGTGTGAGATAGAAATATATTTACTTCAGTACAGTGGATGTTTCTTTTCCCATGGCTGATGTTTTCTGGGTGATGGGGGAGGCTTGTTGAGGGGTCTTTTTCCCTGGGAACTCTACACAGCACAGTGTCCTGGGTGCCTTGGGGTATTTGCAGGATTTAGGTATACATATGCACAATCTTTCTAGATGATAGTTTACTATTACTATTTTTATTAGTAGTTGTAAAAGTTAACATCTTATACAGATCCTTTTGATTTTTGACCAGTTCCCTTTATTTTATTGTTGTAGAAACTCATTCAAAATACTACATTATGTATAAAAGTCATGTCTCCTTATTCTCCTCATGGCTGTTAGTTCCTCTGAGTTTAGCAACTTCATTTTTATTTATTAATTTTCATTTAATTTAAGAGGCAGACATGGGGCCAACGCTATGTCATAGAGGGTAAAGCCATCTCCTGCAGTGCCAGTATCCCATATGGGTGCCGGTTCAAGTCCTGGCTGCTACACATCTGATCCAGCTCTCTGCTATGACCTGGGAAAGCAGTAGAAGATGGCCAGAGCCCTTGGGCTCCTGCATCTGCGTGGGAGACCCGGAAGAAGCTCCTGGCTCCTGGCTTCAGATCGGCACAGCTCCAGCCGTTGCAGCCAGTTGGGAGTGAGCCAGAGGATGGAAGACCTCTCTCTATTTCTCCTTCTCTCTGTGTAACTCTGACTTCCAAATAAATAAATAAATCTTTAAAACAAGATGCAGGCAGAGACACACAGAGAAAGATAGAACAATTTTCCAAATGCTCCCAACAGCCAAGACATCCCAAAGTTAGGCTGGAACTCAGGCTGGGTCTCCCATGTGGGTGGCAGGGACCTACGTACTTGAGCCATCACCTCCTGCCTCCCAGGGTGCAAAACAGAAAGAACTCGAACCCACACCCTCCAACAAGGACTGATAGGAGTTATGGATTTGGGGAGAAAGGTACATAGAGAAACAAAACATAATTTTTATGATATTGCAGCAAAATATAAATCATGAACACTCATTTAAATATATGCAGTTAAATTGTCTAGTGAGAAGCACATTAACACAAACTAGATCACAATTTTATCCAAAAAACCAAGATAATTTGTTCCTATCAGCGGCATCGCTGTTGATATTAACCTTGATAGCAACTGATTGAGATGGTGACGTCAGCTTTCTTGATGATGAAGTTATGCCCCCCCCCCCCTCATCTTGCACTCTTCGGAAGGAATTCACTGTGTACATCCTAAACATAAAGAATAGACTTCCTTTAGAGCCAGGTCCCTACCTAAATTGGTTTTAATTCTTTTGCCTTTGTCTGTTCACACCACTTGCTTATTTATTCACTAGGTTAGAACGATACAACGATTTCAACTTTGACCACCAAACAACTTGCTTAGTTAGCTCCAAAGTCCAAAGTCCTTTCGACATACTCCCATCATCTGGGTAGGTAGAAATGTGTGTGCACATGAGTGTGTGTATGTGTGTGTCCATGTGTCTCTCTGTGTATATTTGTTAGTGTATTTCTTTTTTTTAAACTTTTATTTAGTAAATATAAATTTCCAAAGTACAGTTTATGGATTACAATGGCTTCCCCCCCATAATTTCCCTCCCACCTGCAACCCTCCCATCTCCCGCTCCGTCTCCCATTCCATTTGCATCAAGATTCATTTTCAATATCTTTATATACAGAAGATCAATTTAGTATATATTAAGTAAAGATTTCATCAGTTTGCACCCACACAGAACATAAAGTGTAAAATACTGTTTCAATACTAGTTATAGCATTAATTCACATTGAACAACACATTAAGGACAGAGATCCTACATGAGAAGTGCACGGTGACTCCTGCTGTTGACTTAACAATTTGACAAGTGTATTTCTTTTTATTTATTTATTTTTAAGGAATACAAATTTCATAAATACAACTTTGGGAATATAGCTATTCTTCCCACCATACCCACCCTCCCACCCACACTCCCACTCTTCTGTGTATGTGTGTGCATATGCATGTGTGTATGTGAGCCTGTTTGCATGTCTGTAGGTTATGTGTTTGTGTATTTGTGTGTGTGTGTGTGTGTATAGGAGGGTGTGTGTATGTGTCTCTGTGTGAGTGTGTGTATGTATCTGAGTGTCTCTGTGCATACTTGCATGCTCTCTCCCTCTGTGTGTTTTACCACTAAGTTACTTTCTGGGACTACATGATGTTCCAGGATGACCTTGCATGTTTCCCACCCTGTACTTAAATCAGCCATTCTCCCTGCCCCCCCCCACCCCGAAACCTTAATAATGGATACATTCGGGACCATGTTATTTACAATGTCCAAGAGAAAATATCCTTAATTATGTACTTCTTAGGGTGGCCTTTGAGACAGTGTTCCCTCGTGCCAAGTTAAACATTTGCAGTGGTGGAAACCATCACATCAAGCCTCACTCAAATGCTTATTTGACTTTACCTATTTCATTTCCCTCGATCCCTGTTCCTCTAAGTGCACAGTATCACCTGAACACACTTTGTCAGATTCTCCTACCTATGGGCAGGAACGTGAGACAGCTCTCTCACAGGGCTTATTATTTTCAAGGAATACATCTGCTTCCACTCCCAGTCCCTAATCTTTTTTAAAAAGACTTATTATTTATTTATTTGAAAGTCAGAGTGGCACAGAGAGAGGAGAGGCAGAGAAAGATAGAGAAAGGTCTTCCATCTGATGGTTCACTCCCCAATTGGCCTCAACGGCTGGAGCTGCGCCAATCCAAAGCCAGGAGCCAGGAGCTTTTTCTGGGTCTCCCATATGGGTGCAGGGGCCCAAGGACTTGGGCCGTCTTCTGCTTTCCCAGGCCAGAGCAGAGAGCTGGAGCGGAAGAGGAGCAGCCAGGACTAGAACCAGTGCCCATATGGGATGCCGGCGCTTCAGAACAGGGCGTTAACCCACTGTGCCACAGTACCAGCCCCTCCCAGTCCCTACTCTTGCTGGCTAGAGTATGGGGGACATGGAGACTGTTTTAGACTGCAAGGAATAGCAAAGTAGAAGTACCCGACTAGGCGAAGCTTCTGCATTTGGCCTGGTATCTGTTGGAGCACAGAGAAAAGTAAGAGTAAATTAGCTGATCTACTTGCTAATTCAGTAACTGATAACATTTCGCCTGATTCCTTACAATTCAATTCTACATTAAATGCAAACTTTTTCAGAGCAAGCAACTGGCCTAGCAGTGAGGGTATCAGTTAACGTGCCTATGTTCTCCAGGATAGTGCCTGGGTTCAAATCCAGATTCCAGCTCCTGATTTCCAGCTTCTTGCTAATAGCACCCAGGAAGGGGAGTAGAGACCTTGTTGAATTCCCAGTTTCTAGCTCCATTTGCAAATGAATTGGATTACACATGATGGGTTTGTAGCCCTCCATGTCAGAAGCCATTGAGGAGCTAGCCATTGAGGGCATTTGGGAAGTGAACCTGAAGACAGGAGCGTGCTCTCTCTCTCTCGCTCTCGCTCTCTCTGCCTCTCAAATACATACATACATACATACATACATAAAGAAACTGCATGTAATAATAGCATTCCCTGTGCACCTACCTTACAGGCGGACTCTTTCAGTTCCATGCCTAGTAGCTGATGCTTCTAACTCTGCACCAGACGTGTGACATCTGAATCATGGCTACTGTTCTGCCTTCCTAAAGAATCACCTGCCCATCCACAGTTGACAAATGGTTGAGTTGACATGAGAGTGCTCCCCAAAACTATAGCATGAGAACTATCAGAGACTTTACACGCCTGGAGTCCCACCCTCTAAAATTCTGCATTAATTGGTTGTGGTGGATCTCTAACATCAGCATTTTTTGAAGTTCCTCAAGGGATGCTGATGGGCAGGCAGCACTGTGAATCCCAGCTCTGTGTGCTGAGAGCAACACAGGCAAGCACGTCTCGTCACCACTGCTGCCTACTGCAGCTTGTCTAGAAGATGGTATCCAAGCTGGAGACCTGACACTGATTCTCAAGGACTTATGTTGCTGCGTACATTGAAAGTAGTAAATATAGTTCCACAGGCCAACAACATAGGACATGAAGATCTCTGTCCCTATCATGAACGTTTGGTCTCACCCATGCCTGCTTCTGACAAGCTATGATGGTACAATTGAATTGCAACATCTTGCAAATTGAAGTAGGTACGGCTGACCCACAGGGCTCGTGCACACTTGCTCCTCAGTTGCAAGTCTCCTCTCAAACCTACACAGACGTAAAGGTTGCTGACAACTAACTTCTACAGAAGCGTCTCTGTGTGCTCCTCTTCAGAACCTGCCCACACAGACCAAGTAGTCTGGAAGC